TAGGTATAATGATAAAGATAATGAGTTGAGTGATAGAGATAATGGTGATTATTACTGCTGTCAGCACTATTTTACCATTATGATTATTATTATTATTGTTATTACTATTATCATTATTTTTATTATTATTATTGTTGGTGTTTGTTGTTGTTGCAATTGTTGTTGCCGTTACTTTCCTTATCATTATCATTCTTATTCTTATTATCATTATTCTTATTATCATTATCTTATTAGCATTGTTATCATTACTATTATTATATCTTATATCCTCTTCATCATCATCATCATTATCATTATTACTGTAATCATTATTAGTATTGTTATCATTATTGTTGTTGTTATCATCACCATTATTTTCAATATTATCATTATTATTATGATTCTTATTATCAACATTATCATTCTTATTAGCAACATTACCATTATTATTATCATCATCATCCTCACCATTATTATTGCCCTTATTGTCATTATCTTCATCATCATCATTATCATTACTATTATAATAATAGTAACGATAATGATGATGATGATGATAATGACAATAAGGGCATCATTATTTTTCATTATCATCATCATCATTATTATTATTATTGTTGTTGTTATATTATCATTATCAATATCAACATCATCATTGTCATTGTTATCATTATTATTTTTGTCATTATTATTGTTATTATCATTATAATTTTTACTAGTATCATTATCATCATTATTACTCTTATTATTATTATTATCCTTACTGTTTTTACTTTTACTATTACCACTACTATTACTATTATAATTATTGTTATCATTATTATTACTATTATCATTTTTATCACCAGTACTAATAGTATCATTAATATTATCATTATTATCAACTTCATTATCATTACTATCATTTGCATTATTATTATCATTATTGCTGCTATTATAATATCAGTATTATTATAATCTTTATTATTATCATTATTACTATTATTATTATGATGATGATTATTATGATTATCATCATCATCACCATTATCATTATCATCATAATTATTATTATGATCATCATCATCATCATTTGTTTTGCTTTTTTTTTTGTTAATATTATTTTCATAAAAAGACTTATTATAATCATTATCAACACTATTTTATTTTTATTGTTGTTATTCTTATTATTGTTATTACTACTATTGTTATCATTATTATTACTTTTATTACTATGATAATCATAATCATCATTATCATCTTAATTATCATGCTTATTATTATAATTATCTTTATTATCATTGTTGTTATTAATATTATCATTATAAATACGGTTATTATGATCATAGCCATCACTATTCTTTTTTTCTTTTTTTTTACTGTAATTATCATTATTATTATTAGTAGTAGTAGTATTCTGTTAGTAGTAGTACTATCATTATCATTACTATCTATTTTTACTATCTCATCATCATCCTCATAATATTAATCATCATCATCATCATTATCATTATTGTCATCGTCTTCATCATCATCTTCTTCCTCATCATCATCCTCATCCTTCTCCTCATCATGATCACCACTCTCATCCTTCTCATCATGACCACCATCATCTTCCTCATCCTTCTCCTTCTCCAAGTCCACCTCATCATCATCATTGGCGGGAATGTGTGAGAAACGTGGTTGGTGTGATGTGGACATAGTGGTGTAGCGTGCTAGAGTATCTGCCTGTTCATTGCTGAGGATTCCAACATAGCTGGGCACCCAGCAAAATCTGATATTTTTTAAGCGTGTAGACAGGTAGAACAACCAATTCTGGATCTTACAAACAAGGGGGTTGGTTGAGTGTATTGCCTTTATGAGAGTTAATGAGTTATGGGAGTCAGTAAAAATTGTGAAAGAGGAGGAAGGGGGTGAACATGTGTTTTAAGACAAAAAGGAGTGTGTACAGCTCTGTAGAAAGGACACTGGATTCAGGAGGGAGGGGGTATTTGAAAGTGTGGGTCGGGAAAGTTACTGTGAAACCAGCACTGGAGATGGATTTGAAGCCATCAGTGTAAACATGAATACTGGAGGATACATGGTCAAAGAAATGGGTGAGAAGGACAGCAGGGGAATATTTGATTTTGGTGGGTCAGGGAAAACAGAGGAGCAAATATGGGGGTAAGGTGGGAGGGACAGAATGGACAGAAAACGGAAGAGGTTAGAGATGGGAAAAGGGGAATGTGAGAGGAGGGTATCCATGTGAATGGAGAAAGGAGTAGGTAAACATGGAAGAGAAAGGAATAGGTAAATGTGGAGAAGCAAAGGTAGGAAGTAGGGATCGTGGGATAGTTAGTTTGGTAAGGGAAATTTGGTGGAATCGAGCATAGCATCAGAGAGAGAGAGAAGGGTACGGTGTGAAGAGAGGTGCTATGCCTGATTCATTATACAGGCTCTAAATTGGAGAGGAGCGGAAGGCACCTAGGGTTAAGTGAAGACTGTAATGGTGGATTGTATCAAGATAGGCAGTAGATATGGCATCCATAATCAAGAGTGGAGATGATCAAGATAGCATGAAGATGGAGGAGAGTTTTGCAATCTGAGCCCCAGGATATATGAGAGAGTCTGTAAGATTAGGAGACAGAAGCGGGATTTCCTTTAAGCAATCTGAGCCCCAGGATATATGAGAGAGTCTGTAAGATTAGGAGACAGAAGCAGGTTTTTCTTTAATGTAAAAGATATGGTCTCACCAGGACAATTTGGAGTAAAAAATAATGCCATGGAATTTACCAGACGAATGATATTGGAGTGGAGTGCCATATAAGAAGAGTGGAGATTGGAGACCTACACATGCATAAGAGAAAAGGATAGAGAAAGATTTGGAAGCCATGGTTTGTGGCCCAGGAAGATGCTGATGATATAGCAGACTGAAATAATTGGTGGAGATTTGGTATGGATGTGCCAGAGGCGAAGATGGTTAAATTATCAATAAATAGTGATGACCAGGCTCCTGGTGGTAGAAATGAGACAATGTCATTAACAGCAAGAAAGAATAAAGTGGAGCTGAGCACACTGCCTTGTGGGATGCCTATGAACTGAGGAAAGGATAATGATGAGGAAGAGGCAATTTTAGCCTGAAAAGTGTTTTTGGGGAGAAAGGACTTTATAAAGACACTCATGTTTCATGTATTGGAGAATCTGATACCACCATGTGGTATCTTATGCTTGTTCTGGGTCAAAGAATATGGCTCAGAGTCATGGTGTACAAATGCAGATGTAATATATGTCTCGAAATGAGCAAGGGAGTGAACTGTACTTTGGGCACAGCTGAAACCAAATTGGTAAGGTAGGGGAGGATACGAGCTTCTCACCAGTATGAAGGAAAATTTCCTGATGTCCATATGTGGTTGAAAATTGTTAATAGGAAGGATATATAGGAAGATGGAAGGTGTCAGAGCATACTGTAATTAATACAGTTGGGGCCTTCATGAGTGTTGCGGCACGACTGTAAGGCAGAATCGAGTTCCAAGGAAGAAAAAAGAAGTATTATAGGACTCAGTAGAGGACAGGGTGAAAATAATGGGGATGTATTCCCTGATGGTCTTAATAGAAGAGAAGTGTGGAGAAAGGTGAGAACCACTATTGACCTGGCTGAAACAGTTACCTAGTTCATTAGCGACTTAGAGAGTTTCAGAGATGAGAGTATTTTGAATATGGAAGATGGGAGCTAGATGGGGGTGATGTTTGCCTGATAGTTTATGGACCCCGTGCCAAAAAGTTGAGATAGATGTAGATGTAATTAAGGAAACATAATTTTGCCAGCTATTTGTTTTACTCTACCAGATTGTATGATGAAGACAGGCAGATGCTCTTTTAAAGGAAATAAGGGCTGATAGTTGATTAGGGGTGCCACATTTGTAGCCATAACTGTTCCAGGCTGCATGTTTTAAGTGATGTGCTTTAGTGCAATCGGCATTCCACCATGGAACACATTTGGAGTTATAATGTCTTGAGGTTCGAGGAATAGCTGTATAGGCAGCTCTTAGGACTTAAGTTGTGAAACATTGTATCATATCTGAAATGGACAAGGAGGAGGATGGAGTGGTAGGAATAGCAGAGAGTTAAGTGAAAGTACACCAGTCGGCTCTATCAAAGCACCAGTGTGGGGAGTTAGGAATGATACATATGAAGTAGGAGAAAGTGATCACTATAGGGAAAGTGGTCTAGAACTGTCCAATAGAAATCTAAATAAAGAGAAGGGAAGCATAGAGAGAGGTCAATGCATAAAAAGATTGCATGCATATTTCAAAGTGTGTGAGGTGATCTGAATTAAGAATAAGGACAGTTGTGGAGAGGAAGCATTCTAGGGATCTGCCACACTATAAAATCCTCCCAAAGAGTGTGGCAGCAGTTAAAATCGCCAATTATGAGATGGTTGGAGTTGGGAAATTAGATTTTCAAAAGCAACAAAGTCATTGAGGTGGGAAGGGGAGAAGTAGAAATTACTGTGATCCAGTGGTGAAGAAAGATGCAAATAACTGTGTAAGGGGCAGTGGTTTGAAAGGGTGGTATGACATAAGGTGGTTTCAGATTGATAATTATAGACGAAACATAAAAGGAGTGTGAGGACAAGACAAAATGGTAATTGGGAATTGGTATAGGAGGATGTGTAAGAAAAGTCTTCTCTTGAAGGCAGATAATGGATTGGGTCTGAGGAGTAGAGGCAAAGGTAGGTGGAAAATTCACTAATTAGGGAAATCAGGCACGGCCATATGTGGGCCTACTAATTGAATACTTAGTGACTGTGTACTTGTAAAACTTTCTATGTATAAAAAATATCACAAAATAATACCACAGTTAACATTACATATACTCAGCATTAATGGGTGATGGGAAAAAAACTTAGTGGAAATTACATATTCCTGAAAATAACCTTGCTTGTGGGAACATGAGATGAAAAAAGGAGCTTTGAGCTTGGGGTTAAAAAATAAATAGTTTATATTTATTTAATATTCTTTATTTTCTGTGAATGGCTAATTCCCTCTTAGCATTCTTAAATCTTCTTTTTTATTTATCTGATAAAAATAAAGCACTGCTAGAGTACAATTATTTTTTTCACTTTCTTTACAACTCCTTTTAACTGAAAGCCATATCATATTCTGTGTTAAAGCTACAAATAAATTAAAATCTACTTGACAAAAGCCATTTACTGTTTCAGAATGGCACAAGTTGTTTTGCATATTCTATAATGCTGTTTTGATGGATGCAGTTTGAAAGGATGAGACATTCTGTTGAATTCCCTGTTTTATGTGTCGAACCATTTCTTCTGCATTCCACTGGGAATTATATGAGAGGTCTGTTAACTCCATTGAGTATGGTTCTCTAGGACTGTTGTGGTAAAGTGACTGAAGAACTACTTTTGGAGCCTGTTGCTGAAAATCAAATGGAAAGGGAGATTGATGCTTTTAAATCTAATCAATTATAAGTGTTGTTAACCATGAAATAATGCAAAAAAATCTGTTTTTATCAGTATATACATATAAATGTATGTTTGGCTATGCAAAACAGACACATTAAGAAGAAATATGATATGCAGTAGCAGCAGCAACAGCAGCAGTAGTAGTAGTAGTAGTAATAATAGTAGTAGTAGTAGTAGTAGTAGTAGTAGTAGTAGTAATAAGAGTAGAAGTAATAGTAGTAGTAGTAATAGTAGTAGAAGTAGAAGTAGAAGTAGTAGTAGTAATAGTAGTTGTAGTAGTAGAAGAAGTAGTAGTAGTAGTAGTAGTAGTAGTAGTAGTAGTAGTAGTAGTAGTAGTAGTAGTAGTAGTAGTAGTAGTAGTAGTAGTAGTAGTAGTAGTTGTAGAAGTAGTAGTTGTAGAAGTAGTAGTTTAGTAGTAAAGAAAAATTGAAAAAAATAATATCCATAATATCTAAAACATCACCTTACCTGGGGGAACAGAGGACTCAGTGTTATAAAGGTGAGGAAGTGGAAATCCTTCACCTCAAAAAGAAGGACAACTTTACCGAATCGCTCTGCATCATACTCTAGAACAGCACATCCAAACTGACACAATATCTGAAAACAATTATGTGCATCTTTTATCCATTCAATGTACTTTGAAAGGCTGTATTTCTATACATCTTGTAGATATTTTCAAATAGCTGAAATAAAACTGGGTAACTTTACATTAGGTTAAAAAGAAAGGAAAGGAAAGGAAAGGTAAGAGGGAAAAAGAGAGAGAGAGAGAGAGAGAGAGAGAGAGAGAGAGAGAGAGAGAGAGAGAGAGAGAGAGAGAGAGAGAGAGTGTGTGTGTGTTTTTTTGTCATTCATGCATCATATGATGAATTTTCATTGCCAAAAAAGCTATGACTTATTTACTAAGGAAGTTTGTAGAGTCCTCAAAGGAACAAAAAAATACATATTCTAATCATGTTTTTTTCATCTAACTTTGATATACATTTCTATGAACATATGCTCTAAAATTCAAAATGAGACACTTTTTGGAATTTCTGATATTGCATCATAATTGGAGACAGGCACTATTGTGATGATTAATGGTAAATGGTTAACCCAATGACAACGGGTGTATATATATATATATATATATATAAAAAAAAAAAAAAAAAAAAAAAAAAAAAAAAAAAAAAAAAAAAAACTCTACGCTCTAGCAAACAAAGGCGGTGCGCCGACTTTGAGCGCGTGAGTAGGGGACATCAGCCCAAATCACTGGCTCGCCGCCGGCTCGTTTGGCTGCACGCCAGCTTTCGAGCGCTTTGTTTACACGCCGATTGGCGTCACCCGGCACCAAGGGGTTAACAGCATATCTAATTCAGATTTAATTACTATATTCAAAATAACCATGTGAATCTAATATGACCTAACACCTAAAACATGTAATTTAACCTGTTAAGATTACCAACTGGATTAATGAAATCCAACAAACAATAAATCAATATAATGTAATATTTAATTATCCTTAAGTTTAACTTACTTAGACCATCCAATACATAGTAAAACATACCTGTGCAACAAACTGCTTTCTCATTTCAAAACTTAAAACAGCCTTGCGCACCCTCTGTTCAAGCAGTTGCAAAATCCTTTCTACATAGTCCATAAGGCAGGCTCCAGGTGGCACAGCTGGGAGTGCTAATGTCGAGGCACCCCCTATAAGTGACTCAACTCTAGGTGACAGGTGTAACTTGGGAATGAACACTCCTTCTGTCTGAAATTAAAATGCCTTGTGAGACTGCATTTCCAAAGCATATTTTCATTCAAATCTCCATCTGAGATGTCAAATTACATTATGAAAAACTTACTAAATTCCTTTCACATACAACTTGTCTGAAGACATGCGTAACCCATTTCTGCCAGGTCATGCCTTGCGGTGTCATAACAAACCGCTCCATCTGCAAAGTGCAGTTGTATGCCACGGCGACTCTCCAAAGCGCTACTATCCAGGCATTCAGCTTGATATGGGGAACTCCCATGCTCATAGTTGGCTCATTGCTATTAATCTCCAGATCATAGAGTTTTTATCTATTTTCTTCACCCGTCAGAAA